TTCTCCATTTCTCTGGGAAGTCTAAATTATTTTTTTTCCAGCATTTGAACTTGTGTGACAAATGGGTTAGTTACATAGGGTAAGATCCAAGATGCCTAATATAAGTCCTTACTTCAAGTTAGGCATAGTGGCATTTTGAAAGCAGATGCTTATGCCGCATAAAGCATGTGAGCTTCTTGTACAGACCATAGGGTAGGATAAATGCCCATGAGGAGTGATCCAGGAATTCACCAAATGTCAACTCGTTAATAGCTTCTGGCCCCTTCTGGAGTATTGACACCTGATTCAGGCTCAACCGTGCCTCATTATGCCTGGGATGGAGGCTTTGTGCTCCTTTTTCTGAGCCTAAACACTTTTCTCAACAGAATTCACTCTTGCAAAAAGGTCCTTTTTTGGTATTATTGATGATGCCTGCCCATTCCCACTAATAGCTTAGTGATTAGGTCACTGTCATGGAATCGCACCAAAATGGCTACACGCACACAAATAATGAACTCAAACAAGCTTTAATCTGCAATTGAAATGAAGCAGACAAAACTTCATTCACCAAAACAACATCCCACTGACATTTAACAAATACAGGTTCGATATGCTGGTTGGGAATATTACCAGACACAGCTGAGTTTCTTAAGTTTTTGGCCAAACGATCCAAAATGTGCATTCACTCACTGACCAAAAAAGGGAGGGCTCTCAAACTTGAGAAGTTACCTTAAGTGGCGTCCCAGCTCAAGGGGAGAGTCCCCGACTGCAGACCTGCTGCTCCGAGGAGGACCGACTCAAATGAGTCCTTCTACAGGGCTCCATTTATACCCTGGTTGAATCTGATCTGTGGTCAATACACGGTCGTGTCAGCCCCCTATTGACTGAGGACCCCAACGTTCCCACCTTTGACCCCCACTGTGTGGACCAGACATGAGCTGTGAGGGGGAGGCAGTCCTGGCGCCACCAGGGCCAGAAACTTTAGCACTGCTTTTGCTGGGTCTTTCTCAGGTCTTTAGTAGGGTGGGTGCATCTGCCACAGTCACTTATTGAAGAAATCAGATACTCACATTCCAACCCTCCCTGGTTAACTCAAGAGGATAGATCTGCAATTTCTATAAATCAAAAACGTGCTTAAGTTTGCCAGGGTATTCTGCTGACCATTCTGTTGCCATTTTCTATTGTACTGTACATGGTGCAGAAAGGAGAAGAAAAAGTTAAAGTATCGGCTTAGATATTCATCTATATGAGAAAATACTTGCTTTCTCAGCCCTTGCATGTATTACATCAAATAGTCGTTGGTAAAATACAGGAATAACTTAAAAGAGCAGGAACTATAAATGTAGGTCTACCAGTTCCAAGCTTGTGCACTTAATTATTAAGCACCCACATAATCAGTAGACACCAGTTTTGTTTTGTTTTGTTTTTTTCCGCTCATATTCATTTAAGGGCAGTAGCAATGTTCAGACTTGAAAAACAGCACAACAAATAAATAAGCACACAAGTTCTTTATTTATATGTAGAGAGACAAGAAAAGGAAAATTACATCTCATCTTAATGTTCTGAAAATTTAGGCCTAGATAGTGTAACTAATCCAGTGAATCATTAATCTCTTAAGTCTTCTCTCTGTCTCCTGATTTCTTGTAGTCTCTTTGGTTTTGCGAGCAGGTCTTTCTATGTCTTTTAAAAATACTGTGATAAGCTAAGGCAGCAAACTGGAACAAACTCCTAAATAGTGATTACAAGCAATATAATCTAATCTAACCAATAACTTCTTTATCAAATTTCTATTCTTATGAGTTCTAATATATATGATTCTTAGTTTTCTTGGAAGTCCCTTCCGGAATACTACTCCTCTGTTTAAAAACCCTTATTATTGAATGTCTACATTTATGCCCAGTTTTAGGTATGAGTTTACATATCACTTTTCTTGGATGTTTACTCTCCATCATTAGTTACCACATGCTCCATTATTTTCAGTTATTTTCAACCCTTTTGACAGTAAATTTTTCAGCAAATATTAACTTTTAATTTTTCTACTGTTTGATAATAGCAAGAGTAAAGCAAAGCAAATAGCAAAGTAAAAGTTGTGGATTATACAATTTATAGAGACTATATGAATACTCTCATATATAATGCTAGTGTTCCTTATTTTGTTTAAATTAGTTTTACTTTGATCAACAGGCAACTGTGGCTATCATCAAATCTAAAATTCCGACCTATTGTTCTGTCTCCTCTTGAACAAGAAAACTGCAGTGATTTGTACTATAACGTGAAGTTTGGAAAGAAACTGTCTGTGAAAATCACTGACACTTATTTGGGGTATGATATAGTCTCCTAAAATAATCACAATTCTTCAGTATGATGGAGAGTAGGAAAAGTCCTATCAGTTCGTGAACATCTAATTATGGAAGACTGTTTAACATAATTCTCTGTACTGGCTGTTATTTACGTATGCATTGTGCTCACAGTGACATTGACTAACTGGCTAGTATTTCAAAAGCAGAGTAAATATTGATTCTTTAGTTGTAAATTACAATTTCTGTTAATTGATCTGCAGTGCCTAATATAAAATAATTTAATATATAATTTGGCTGTAATTACTTACTTAAATAGTAACTAAATTGGTGTTAAATTACATACATAGACCTGCTTTTGAAACATGTAACTTCATTTGTGCCACAAGCATTGATGGATGCAATTTGGGTTCATCAGGAAATACTGGGTTAGATGTGAAACTATGAGAACTCATCTAGACTTCTTGAGAGTCGACTTTTAAAGGTATAAAGCTGAAGACACTAAACAGCATATGGTATAAAACTGAACTTAGTGCATTCTTAGGACATTGTTTTGAGAAACTGCAGTGACTCTGGACTATGCAGAGCAGAGGCATCAAGTTGCTGCATAGAGCCGCAGCCCCAGTTGTCTTTGGGCCTACTGAATGTAAGATAGATGTAGGAGGCAAACAGAATACTTCCACCATGCTCCTTTTGCGCTGAGGTATGCTTGGGACTATCTTGTGAATTCAGCTCCATACAAGCTAAAAAACTTCAGAGTGTGGAACATACAAAAAATATATGAGTTAAAGACAACAAAAAGATGGCAGAAGCCAGCTGTTAGGCCTTGTAGGGTGCATTGTTTTGTCCACAAACATAATTGAACTTGATTTTAAAATAATTCCTAACAGGTCTTGTAATAGTGTTCAGGGTTCGTGTTATTATGGGTATTTGAGTTACTGAGGGAGAGCTGACTGAAGTAACAGAATTTGCCATAGAACTTTTTACCCTAAGAAAAATTCAATTCTGGGATTTAAAGCTGTTGGAAGGGGATGTTTCTTCTCATCAGAAGATGCTGTTGTATAGGGTATTAAAAAAGTCTGTCCATGTAAAAGTAATTTCAGAATTTTTGGAAAATTAACACTGCTTGGCTAAATTAAATTTATTTCAGGAATGTGCTAAGACCTCTGCTGTGCTAAGTCAAGATCTATGTATTTAAAGGTTTTTTTTAAAAAAGAGATTTTGTTGGCAAAAATGGTTAATTTGAAGAAATACAACTATTTGTTTAACAACTCAAAAAATCGATCATGCTGCTTGTTTTTCTTCATGTTTTCTTTATTTTTTTTTTACAAAATGTGTACATTTAGTTTACACAAACACGCTACAGCAGATTTCAGGTGTACATGTATTGTACTACTCTTATCCTACACTGGTGATAGCAGAGCAGCCTTCAACATGCCTCTAACATCCCATCTCTACACCAGAATAGATATCAGATTTATTTTCACAAAAGAATGCTTACAACTTTCTACTTCATTAATCCCCTTTCTGCAGCAATGTCACAATGAAGGTTGGCCTATCTCTGATAGCATTTCACCTATTTTGAAGGATTGCCGTAAACTCTGTGGACAATATATCTTAAAAATTAAATGAATGAGGGGGCAGTATTATATTTTAGATACATACATTTTTAGAAAGAAATCTTTCTAGGTTCGGAATTAAGGGAGCTCCAATCTTAATGAAGAAATGTCCCTAAAATAAATTTAATGCAGTTATCACCTATAGATGATAATATATAGCTGAAGTTTCCAATTTTTTTCGTGATTCTGTCTCATAATTAAAGATATGACAAAAGATGAAACAGATGTTATACTGTCTAGCAGTCATCAGTAGTAGATGTTACCATATAGTGATATTCATTCTGAGCACCAAAGTGGTATGGAAGATTCAAAACAAGCTCATGCCTTTTTCTTCATTAAAGGCACAAAGACATGTACTCATGAAAACAGTGTTAGGATCCAGATAAGGTTTCTTCATCACAAATTCAAAGTGAAAAGATTCTTAATTTTAAGCAAAGAACTTTGTGGACATGTCCAGGAAGAATCAGAAATAGAATATGTAGGACTCCTGTTATTCATGTCATAAATTAAATGCAGATTTGCTAGGTAAGTGTGATTGATAGAAGCTTAGTTACATTTGTTAGGGAGCAAATCTACCGATAAGCAATTTCTTTTTTTGTTCTGTAACAGTTCTACCTCTCAAATTCTCTATTTTATTAGGTTTGGGTTTGTTGGTTGTTTTTTTTTTTTGGAGAAAAGCAAGTCAAAGGTGGAATGCAATTGCAGCAAGATGTGCATTGCACATTGATTATAGCACTTTAACTCAAAGTAATATCCAAAAAATGAGGACTATGCCATACAAACTTGAAAAGAAAATACATGGTAATGCCTCTGCATAAATTAGAATCTAAGAATTAAGAAATACACTTAAACACCTGGAGCTTAATCCAGTACAAATAAGTAGCAAAACTAAGAGTATTTATTTAATCTCCTTGTGATAGTATCTATTTTATCTACAGGTTGGTATGGTAATAAAGCTGCATAATGTCAGTGTTTGGGTTTGGAGTAAAAACTGGACTTTTCAAAACAATCTTGTTAACCAAGTAGCCACTGTTGAAGTGCTAAATTATATATTTTAGAAAGGATTTTTTGGGGAGAAGTTTGTAATAAAAATTTACTTGCATAATACACATCTCAGTGTAAAGCTGAGTAATTTTATTTATGATAAAGTGGGAAATCCATGTCTTAGATAATGTTGCAGAATAGCTGATATTTGTCCATTAGCTGTAGACCTAATGTCTTCATTATATTACATTTTCAAAGAGCTGCATGGATCGCATTATATTCTCATCCTGTAAAAAAAAAAAAAAAAGACAACAAAAGCCCCAAAATCATACACCATTACAAATGTAGCTAGCAAATATCTATAGTGAAATGGAGTAGAACTAACTGCATTTTAGTTAATGACAACATTATTTTTCAGCTTGTTTGGAGAAATTGTTGGCAGAGAAAGGCTATTAATGGATCCATGTTTAAATTGATTTTTTAATATATTAATTAAACCAAAACTATTCTGTCCAGTATGCAATAGCATGTTAAGAAAATTAAATCTGCAGTATTTCAAAGATTATAAGTTTATATCCAGTATAACAAAATGCATATAGACAATAAATACTCAAGAAGTAATTGTTATATCTCAAGTGTGAATCCATATGTGAAATTGATAGTTCTGTGTATTGTACACAGGAGCATTTTTGCGACTGTCTAAAATAAAATAGATTTAAGTGTGCATCTTTCCATGAACTGAAAAGTCAGTCAGTTCTGCAAATATCACCACAACACTTTCTTTGACTCCTCAGCTCAGATTTTCTGAACACTGGAAGATGTTGACTGTTTTCCAATGCTACTTCTGCTTTCTGATTGCTTTGCACTAAGCAGATATCAAAACTTTCAACTTCCAAGTTCTGCATCACGCTTATTGATGCATCACCCTGTACTCCAGTTTTTATTGATAAATGACTCTCAGCACAGCAGTCAGGAAAAAAAAAATAAAAATTTTTTAACATTTACTTTTCAGTGCATAGAAGAAAGCGTTTACTTGTAGCTCACATTTAGTGGCGCTTCTGAACCAACATTTGGTTGCACAATACAATATATATACAACACAAGATGCTCATTTAGCATTTGCTGGTCTCCACTGTAATGATCCTCTTTTTTAATCTGCATGCACACCCTTTAGTACTTTCTTGAGAGGTAATCTAACCATCTTTAATTCTAGTGAACAAGAAGACTGAATTTGATAGAATATTTTAGAAAGTTTCATGAAAGCAGAGCATAAACCCCCCCCCCACTTCTTAGAAAGGTTATCTCGTAGTATTCTCCGCTACCGATAGGTATATAGGCCTTTTGTACATTAATATTCCAATAACACATGCTCGGTATCAATTTCCAGTTAAATTATTCACTGTTAAGTCTAATGGGTGATTTACTTTGTAGAAAATTACAAGTCTGAGTAATTTTCTTAATTTATGTTGTAAAACATGCACAGTGGGGTTTTTCATCTTTGATTTCGTATATCATCTGAAGTGATGTTGCTGTAAGAAGTGATCTGCGCACTGTTTCGTGCTGATAAATGAACTTATGAAAGCAATAATATGTAATTTCAAAAAAGTATGTAGATCAATGCTTTAAAAGTTTGTATAGAAAATTTACTATATTAAATTACTGCAAATTAAAATAAACTAACTTTTTCCCACTGCATTGTTTTGAAACCTCAATATACTATTGATGATCACTGATTAATGTAAGGTTAAAGTTTGGTCTACCAGGAATCATTTGTCATTTAATTATTTACAAATGTTTTTGTATATACATTGGCAACTGAGCTCAGCAAATGTGCAAAGCAAACAACACACTCTTAGTTTAGAAGGTATTTTGACACCTTTCACTTTTATAATATATGTATCATCACTAATGAAACTAGTAGTTTCCTAAAATCAGCTCCATATTTCAGATTGCTGTTTCTATACAGAAGACTTCCAATGCTCCTCCTTTACTCTGTTGTGAAGACTCTTCCCATTTGACTAAATATAAGCTTGTCATAATATTTGGAACATGGTGACTTTTAGTACCTTTTTTTTAAATCTTCAAAAAAGAAAGAAAAAGATGCTTGCATAAGAATTCTTTGACAAGCATATATTTCTTATTTGCCTCTTTTTTCAGTACATTTTTCTAAACGCTTTTTCGTAAGAAATTTGTTTAGTGATTCCTAACTCAAGGCATTAGGAGGTGTTAGTGCATCTGAAGCATAGCCAATATGAAGCAACAAAACATGGATGAATAAGCTTTGCAGATCTGACCTAACTTCAAGCCAGCTTTGAAGTTTTTCTTACTGAAGTCCTGAGATGCCTCCGTTGTTGTTTTCAGGCTAGCCCAGACTATCAGCACTGTGTATGGAATGGGTTACTCCTGTAGAAAATGTCTATCCCAGAAGCCTTTTTATCATTATCAGAAGGACCTTTAACTCATTCACCTATGCATGCCTTAGTCCCTTGACTCTATTCTTCACGGTACTGCTGTAGATATGAAGCAATATCAAAGTTAGACCATTTTCCACCAGCACCAAGCAGTGAAAGGAGACAGGTGAGGAACTGGGTAGCGCCTAACCCTGGAGTTAGCCACACTACTGCTTCCCAAGATGTATTTATGTCTGGTATGTGGTAACTAGCTTATACCATGCAGGCCAGGCAGCAGCCACTTTCTGGGACTCGGTCTCTAGGGCAGGGAAGTCCTTTTCTGCTGTGGGAGCAAGGAGACTCCTGGAGTCTGGGTGGCAGACAAGCACATGGGTATGTGGGGTAGGGAGGTCATACACATCCCCTGTCTAAGACAGAGGGAGGATGAGGGGAAGCACCTTTGCTGTTCCCACTTAATCATGGGCAAAGATAAGTTCTTATACCCAGTGGCCAGAGAAGACCATGCTCAAGGCCTGAATACTCCGTAGTTCCCTACATAACTACTTAACACTTTGTGAATGGACAAGTGTGCATTCTTTGCATTGGGACTGCGAATTAAGAGTCTTGAACTTGCTGTGTATCTCAAGCTGTACAGTTCTACTGCGCTGATAGTTGTGTCATTCAGCACATGGAGGTGATTTTTAAAAAGGCACACGCGTGTGCAACGCGTCTTTAAGAACATACCAGAGCCTGTTGATGCTACCAAAAAATCTCAGGGGATTCCAGGAAACTGAAGGAGAGCCTCTCTATTCAATATGCTCTGCTGTGTTCCTTCTCACGATTAAAGCAAGCATGCTGTGCTTTGTTAGTTATCACAAAACACCAGTAAATGGGATCGACTTCTAAGACCCACTAATTTGGCTTAAACTCAAAATAGAGCAATAGCAGTTCTCAGAGGCTGGCAACTCTTGCCTGAGAGATCATTCAAAGAAAACTCTCCTGCAGCCTTTCCCTGGCAGAACAGGCTTCCAGTCCATTTTAAGATTCAGACTGGACAAGATCTAAGCTTTAGAGTTTGGTTAGGAGTTTCTTGTAGTTGCTGTCTCCTGGCACTGTTTTGAGTCTGCTGACAGCTTGAACTAAGACTGACAAGCATATTCTCTGTATGCCTTCAGCTTATTTTCACATGTGCCAGATGCAGCTCTGGCTGCTGTATTAATCAATGGACCTTCCCATTCCAAGGTCTGAGCTACAGTCATTTGTTAGACAAACTGGCAGGGAAGGTTTAGAGTAGACGTGCTCCAACATCAGCCTTAATGCCAATGGAGGGTTGGTAGATGATGAAGTCACAATAGCTGTCAAAGCCTAGGGAGCAGCAGGTGTGCTGTGCAACTGTCCTGAATCTCCTGATTCTGGTAAGCAAAAGGTAATAGTAGAACTAGCAATGGTCTAGAGAGAGGGACAAGGATGATAAAAGGTCTGGACCGGTTTCCTTACGAGGAAAATTTGAATAAATTAGTACTTTGCAGCTTGGAAAAGAGATACTGAATAAAGGGCAATAATGATAACCACTGTTTTTCCATAACACCAGAACATATGGAAAAGGTAAAAATGTTGCACAGCAGGTCTAAAACACAGACATATTTACTACAGGAAGAATCACAGAATAATTTAATTTTGCTTTTGGCATTGTTAAGTGCTCATGAAAGATGAGATATGTCCCTCCTGGAGTGGTGACTCACTGCATGCTGAGGAAAAAAAAGAACCTGAACCTTACCTGACCTAAAGACCAGTCTTGTATCCATTAGGATATTAAAAAAAGGTTTCCCCCCAGCTGTCTTTTAAAAGGAGGCAGCCACTACTGTCCTTTGTGAAAAATGTAGTCCTGAAAAGGCTGAAATGTATTAACTCCTGAATCAAGTGTCTTGAAGGATACATATCCTAACCCCAAATCTCGTATCTGAAACCAAATCTTAATATAAACATGGATTACACACTTTGCAACTCAGAGGTCTTAATAAAAGAACAGGTCTTAGTAGGTAGAGAGACAAAAATTTAGGCAGCAAGATACTTTTTGTATCAAAAAACATTGCCACCTTTGAAGTTACAAGCAAGTGAAGGTGAGGTGAAGTGGCATGATAAGAACAGTGTCTGTCACACAGCAGTTTAGAGAGCAACTCTCTCACATGTATTCTGAATACTCAGAAGAGGTAACTAAGAAACCTTCTAACAGACATGAGAAACTGTGAATCATATTGGAAAAGCAGAACAGGTAATTACTTACTGAAAGTACTAACTTTCTTTGTAAATTATTCACTCAGCCCATCACCATGATTGCTGTCATATCCAGATTAATCTGTCATTTAACTTCCAGAACTCTACAGACCTCAGCTGGGCAATGAGCCTCATCTCTGTTTCTGATGATCACTCAACTTTAGCAGAGCAGATGCCTTTCACTGCTACTGATCAAGACTGATGACCTGGAACCATGGTTAATGCAATAGAGCACTGCCAACAGATAAGACACTACCCAATACCCATTGCTAAGGGCATACAGAACAGCCAAAGTTAGAAGAGCTGTTGTCTGTCTTTCATCCCCCAAAATCAGTGGATTAAAATCAAACAGAATCACTTACTAGGTAGCTGTACTTATGAGAGCACAAGGAACAACTGCAAATGCACATTAAAATGGACCACTTATAGAGCATCTTTGCTGTTTCCTGTTCAGCTTTCTCTATTCCAAATGCTTCCAAATCTGTCACTCACTAACTGCATTTATCTTGCTAGTCTTGTTCTCTCCTGTCTCTTGTCTACTGCTCTCTTCTTGGTAAAGGAGATAAAAAGCAATACACACAGGTCATATTGCTGGTCTGTGTCAGCTTCACATTCATCAGAGCCAGGACACGACCTCAGTAGAACACTACTGTGATTCCTTGGATTTCCTCACTGTAACAAACAGCGTTGGGTTTTTTGCCACATCAGTTTGCATAATGCAATCAAGCCTATCTTATCACTAGGTATAATGTGATACTTTACAGTACAATAACAACCTCTTATCACAAGAAAGACTTGTCATCATTATTTTGTACTATATCATGTTTCTTTCTCTTACCTTTTTTAACTGACAAATTAACGGTAGTTTCTTAAATTTCTAAGAATGCAACTTAACTTTCTGCATATCATGTCCTGGTCTGAGAGCAAGTCGGTTTCTGAAGGGCAGAAGAGTGAAAACAGGCTGTAATTCCT